CTATGACCTGGGCAGCGGCAGTAGTAGCACCGGCAGCAGCAATAGCACCACCAACACCAACAACAGCGTCGACAGCGATGCTGACACCAGAATCGGCAAGAACCCTCCCAGCAAGGCAGAAGTAGCTGAGAGACCCCCCAAGAGTCAACTCCCACTCAAACCGGTCCAACAGGAGGGACTGACGGAGGAACCCAACACCTAGACTCATCCTCACTATCCTCAACACCTTTCTTGCAGAAGCTCTTAACATGGTTCGAAAAGAGGGGCACCTCAATGAGCCCCCTCCTAAGAAAGCATGTCTCCAGATAGAGAAAGCAACGGAGCGGCAAAGGGCGACACTAGTGGAAGAGTTCTAGGAAATACCGATCGACCAGGAAGGACAGAAGACATTCAAGATCGGATCTAGCATCATAGAGCCTTTACGAGGAGCGTTAACAGAGTTCTTGTAGGAAAACGCTAATATGTTCACCTGGGTACCTAAAGATATGCCTGGGATCCCCCCTGAAGTGATAAGCCACGAGCTAGCAGTCTACTGGCACACCAAGATTGTGCGACAGAAGAAGATACATCTCGACCCTAAGAGACAGAAGGTCGTTGTTGATGAAGTCGAACGGCTCCTTAGAGCCAGTTTTATTCGGGAAGTGCAGAACCCAGAATGGCTGGCCAACATGGTGTTCGTGAAGAAGGCTCTAAACAAATGAAGGATGTGTGTGAACTTCACAGACCTCAACAAAGATTGTCCCAAAGACAGATATCCCCTACCTCAAATCAATCAGCTAGTCGACGAGAGTGCGGGGCATGAGCTACTTTGTTTCATGGACGCCTTCTCCGGCTACAACCAAATTTATATGGCAGAGCATGACTAGGAGAAGACCTCCTTCATCATTGACCAGGGGACCTACTGTTACAAAATGATGTCATTTGGATTCAAGAATGTTGGTGCAACATATCAGAGACTTGTCAACAAGGTCTTCAAGCACCAGATCGGTCACAATTTGGAGGCTTATGTAGACGACCTACTGGTAAAGTCGAAACAAGCATCGACCTACATATGACTTGGATGAGACTTTCTCCATCTTTGACGCTACCGCATGAAGCTCAATCCATCCAAGTGTGCCTTTGGGGTGCAATCGGGAAAGTTCCTAGGGTTCATGATCACCTAGAGAGGAATTGAGATCAACTCGGAAAAGATAGC